TTTTCCATTGTTTCTCTTTCGCGCTTGGAAATGTTATACAATCTGCTGCTAGGAAGGGGTGCACCAGGTAAAAGTTCAATAGCGCAATCGTATGGTCTGTGTGGAGGTAGGGACGTCGCACTGACCTTACTGAAGACAGGGGCTAGGTCATGGTACTCTGAGGGAACTGAAGAAAGGTCAGGAGAGTCCATCTCCCCCCCACCACTAGGAGGCCCCACCATAGGGGCAGCAGAACGAAGGCAGGTTTCGTGGCAAGTAGTGGACCATGATTCCAGAAGACGTTCAGTCCAATTAATATGAGGGTTATGCTTCTCTAACCACTCGAACCCGAGGACCAGCGGGGAACATGCAGAGGGAAAAACAAAGAAAGTTATTGTCTCTCGGTGGTTACCTGACAGAAGTAGCTCGAGGGGCTGAGTTTGGTGGGTAACACGGTGGAGTCTTTTTCCGTCTATGGCGGACACACTGAGAGGCTGAGAGAGAGGAACGGTTTTGATCTGGAGTTGCTGGACGAGGTTAGAGTCGATTAGATTACGCTCACAGCCTGAGTCGATGAAGGCGGAGAAAGATAGACTTTGGTTATCACAGAAGAGGGTGGCAGGCAGCAACAGACGAGGAGATTTTATTGAATTTATTTGGCCCGCCAGACTCCTCAGATCCTCTGGCGGGCCCCGGCTTTTGATTTTGCCGGGCAGGAGGCGATGAAGTGTCCACTCTCGCCACAGTAGATACATAGCTTACTTAGGAAACGCCTCTGTCTCTCCTCTGGAGTGAGCCTAGTATGTCCCACCTGCATTGGTTCATAATCCCTTTCCCCCGAATGAGAGGCTTGAACAGGCAATGGTAGAGACTGGGGCTTAGACCTCTGAGTGGGCATCTGCTCTGTAGAGGGAGAACACACAGTCACGTTAAGAGAGGCAGGAGAGAAATTACTCTGCTTCTTAGAACTGTTTCTGGCTCGAATCCTATTATCTAGTCTAATGGAGAGGCGAATTAAATCCTCGAGGGAAGCAGGCTCGTCGAGGGTTGCTAGTTCATCTTTAATCTGTTCATTTAAGGCCATGAAGAAGGCTCCCTTCAAGGCGCTTTGGTTCCATCCGGAAGCTGCCGCCTTAACCCGGAAGTTTATTGAAAAATCGGCCACCGATGAATTTCCTTGTTTAAGGCTGAAAAGAGCTCTGGAGTCAATAGTTTGGTCAGTTTCCTGGTTGAAAACCTGGGCAAATTCAGCAAGTCAGAAAAACTGCAATTTAGGCTGTCGTCAGTAGCAAATCTTGCCTGAGCCCATTCCAAGGCTCTCCCTGTTAACTGAGAAAGAATGAACGTTATCTTCTTGTGATCTGTGGAAAAGCTACCAGGAGAGTTCTGAAAAATTAGCCGACACTGGAATAAAAATCCTTTGCAATCTTTCATGTTACCGGAGAATTTCTCTGGAAGACTAGGGCGGAACTCTGATGACGTCACAGGTTGTGACCTCGGGGGAGGGACTGGACCCGGAAATGGTTGCTGAACAGATGCAGCATTAGCGCTATTCAGGAAGTTAGCACAACTCTGTATCATTTGGTTATGAGTTCCAACTAGATGGTATAACTCACGGAGCGTTTGGGTTTGTCCTTGTAGTTGCGCATCCTGTTCCTCCAAACGGCGGGTGAGGTGATCTGCTGGGCCTTGAGTTTGGCCGCAGTGTTCTGTCATGATGGGTTCACTAAAGGAGACCCAGTTATGCAGAACACCACTGACGGACACAAGGATGAAAAGTTGAACAGTTTATTTAAGCACAAAACACACAGAATGTACTGATTCTGGTTCTGGTCTGGGTTCTGGTTCACCGGAGTCTGCGTGAGAGACAGCACAGTTAGTGGCTGCTGACAGGATTGGATTTCCACAGGTTTACTGCTTGTACCTTGAGGGTTCCTGAGGTTTACTTTGGGAGAGTGACTGTTGGTTCTGGAGAAGGGTTTGTCAGCAGAGTCCGTTTGCTGCTTCAGCGTCTTGCGTCTTAGCTTGAACAGACCTTGGCTTGATTTCCCAGCTCTAGTCCTGAGCTGCTTGGGGGTTCTCTGAGAGTCTTCAGGGTTTGGCTCAGAGGGTCGGCTCGGCAGGTTAGCTCTTCCTGAGCTTTCACAGAGGAGGCACAGGTTTCCTGGAAAACAGAGACAGTAGTTAGAATCCAGACTGGATTCAAAGTCATGGAGATACTCTGAGAATCAAGGCTTTAGCGCTGACCAACTGGAACAACACTGCGGCGTTGAGGCAAGGTCTGAAGACAGCTTATGTAGTGGATCCTCTGATGATCTTAACGAGCTGCAGCTGTGCAGGAGGCTCCCTCAGAGGATCCACGGCGGACTCTGCTGGAGAAAGATGGGATTCTCTCCAGCTCCCAACAGTCAGAGCATGCTGTGTGGGAAAACACACAAATAAAAGGAGAGTGACACTCTGTTTTAGGGTAATCTGATATTTCAGAGGAGCAGCCTTTTGGGATGCAGAGGCAAGGCCAGCAATGGTGGGGCAGGGTTGTTATCAACTTTACTAAGACCAAGTTTGTTCTCAACTTTATCATGTCTGCCTCTTTAAATTGTACATCTCAGCACCTCTTCTCACATCTCCATAACCAACAGACTTGCAACTTGCAGTCCACAGTGTATTGGACAGTTCATCACATGCTTGCCAACACTGGCATGTAATTTTTGAAAGGGCACATATTCAGCTTTAACTCACTACTGTAGAGGGCACTTTAGCACTTGTTTTGGCTCCTGTGAGAGCAAATTAGCATGGACTTTGGTTCCCAAGGAGACAGTTTTGGCTCCAAAGGGGACTTTAGCATTTTATGCTCCCGAGAGGATAGTTAAGCACAGTTTGCCTCCCAAGCGGACAGTTTCGCACACATTTTGGCTCCCAAGGGGGAAATTTAGCAATCATTTTGGCTCCCAAGGGGGCACTTTAGAGCACGTTTTAGACCCCTGAGAGGGTAGTTTAGCGCATATTTTTGATCCCAAGGGGGCATTTTGGCAAACAATTTGGCTCCTGAGAGGCCAGTTTGTCATGCACTTTGGCTCCCTAGAGGAGACTTGAGCACAAGTTTTGGCTTCCAAAGGTTTATTAAACACTTGCTTTAGCTCCCATGGAGGCAGTTTAGCATACATTGTGGATCCCGAGAGGGCACTTTAACATGTGCTTTGATTCCCAATGAGGCAGTTTAGCATCCATTTTGGCTTTTAAGGAAGCACTTTTTTATTGACTTTTGCTTCCAAGAGGGCACTTTATCACCCGATTTGACTCCCAAAAGGGGCACTTTTGCATGTGCTTTGATTCGAAGGAAGGCAGTTTAACATGTTTTGGCTTCCGAGAGAGCAGTTTAGCATGTGTTTTGGCTCCTTAGGGGGCACTTTGTGTGCGTCTTGGCTCCCCAGAGGGTACTTTAGCAGACATTTTGGCTTCCAAGAGGGTTCTTTAGCATGTGCTTTGATTCCAAGGAGGCAGTTTAGCACGCATTTCTGTCCCCAAGGAGGCACACCTTTTATCTAATAGATTGTTTACTAGATTGCAGACTTGCATGAGCTGCACCTCTGCTATGAATTTCATTTAAATCCGTACTCAGCTTTTCAAATAACCCTGCTAACAAACTACTAATCTAACCAAAAAACTTAATCAAACACAGAACCTCTAAAAGGCTCTATGTAGGTTGTTGAGGCTCTGCCATCACCATGTTCCACCTTAGAATTAGATGTTCTGGGTAACATTTAAAAAAAAAACAAATCTGCCTCCTAAATTCTACTTTTTGTTTTTCTGTCATACTAAATATCTAAAGCCTTGTTCTTCCTCACACATAAACATGTCTTTGTAAATGAAATCGGTTCTTGCATAAGGACTTCTATTTTTTAATGCTAATGCATCAAAAAGTTATTTCTTATTTAAACATTTGAGCAGCTTTAAGTTATGGATATACATTATATCCTGGTAGCAGCTGTTTGTATCATTTAAAAAAATGTTAAACTCTCGGAGGTGTTTTTAATTCCTTTTTGCTAGGATTTGATGAAGGGTCTGAATTTTTCTTTAAGGAAAACAACCTTCTCCAGTTGTACTATTACAATTCAGCCTACTGATTCATACTACTAACTTATAAATGTTGTGCTCATCACAGATGGCAGAAGGTTAAAATCCCATGCTGCCTCTTCTCATTACACAAAGCTAATGAGCAGATAAGATAATGGATTACATTTTATGATAAGTGGAGCTGAAACAGTACAGATGTTGGAGGGGTTTGTACTAAAGTAAAAGCAGTGAAGAGGCAGCAACATTTGTCTTTTAACTAACTTTACTTACTAAGATTCAGAGCATCCATCCATCCAACATGGACTGAAAATATTTCTGCAAACATCTGGAAATTCCAGCTTTTGACATTACAGGATGTTGACATGAACAATTAGGAGACATTTTAAGTTGCACTGAGATCTGTCCCTAAATAAAGTCACTAAATATATTTTCAATATCTCAGACCAGGAAACATCCTTTTAATTCTGATCTTTTAAAGTATGATAATAATGGATCAATATATAAGTCGATTGTGTTTTGTTTCGAAGTTGATAATATTTTCTTCTGTTCTTATTTAACAGAAATATTCTTTTAAGATTCCTGTTTTTGTCTCCTTGTTCAATTGTGGATGTCTATGTCCTCATGTTGATTTTTCATAAAGATGCAGAAGAATTAGATCAGAGTTAAGTAAGCAAACACATCGTTTTCTCACCCATGAATGTTAGATTATTTTTGTGGAACGACAAAGAACCAGAGCTGGGAGTTTGCCTGATGCTTTAGAAAGCATTGGCAAAAAAGGGAAATATCCCATCTTTACCCATTTATTAAGAAGATGGAACTGAGTTCAGAATGGAGGTTTCTGTTTGAACCAGAAATGTTTTAGCTGTTAAATCCATTCAAATCATCCTTAAACGGAAATCAGCTAGAGATAGCCAGCATTCATGTCTTGCCTTTCTGTGTGTCTGTAGTCAAAAACAGGCAGCCAATCAGATCAGCGCCTCACCAGCTTTCCTAGCCATTCAGCTCTCCGATTCGTCAGCCCTCCCACCATGAGCCACGAAGGCCAGGAAGAGGGCAGTCGGGAGGCGGAGGAGGTAGGACCTGGAGGCCGCTTTGCGCTTCCTCACTCCCTCCTCCAGAGGTCCCTCCCAAGACCTAAGAAAGCCCTGTCACTGTTCAGCCCTCTTCCCCCTCCTTCTTCTTCTCTTCCTCTACCTCAGCATCCTCCTCTTCCTCATCATCCCCCACACCATCCCATGCCAAGCCTTGCTCCTCCTCATGCTCCTCAGGATCCTCTCGCGCAGCATCAGGGCCTTCAGCGCTGTGGGAGGTGAGAAACGATGTGAGTCCCCGCCGCCGCTGCAACAGTTCACTTTGATTTCACTGCAAACAGATGATGTGTTCACGTCTGCCGCCCGCTTGTCTGCATCACTTAAACCAATTTAGTTTGGATCTTCCTTCAATCCCCAAGCACTCCCTCTGCCCTGATATTTGCAGCACAGGGGTTGTTGTATTCACCACACAGTGTTATATTTTTCACTTTTTTCCCCATTTAATTGTATTTTTAATGGATTTTATTAGATCAAGAAGAGCAGTGATGTCAAACATCATCCATCCATCTATTCGTCCAACATTTGATAAATTGGGAACAACTGTGTTGGCTTTTTACAACAAAATCATAATAAAATACTTCAGATTTTGTGTTTTTAACAAAAAAAAAGCAATCTTCATGCACTGAATTTTCAACGCCAGTTACATCCTTCAAGCCATAGCTTTCTGTTTTCTCATTACTCGGCATGCTTGTCAAGTTTTAAAACAAAGTTTTAGTGAAATGTAGTCCTTTGTGATCACACCGAGCGTTAAAGAGTGTGGCGAAACTTAATACGAGCCAGGCGGGATTTTAAATGGGAATTTTTAATTTCTGCCTGGAGCCATCACAGAGTCTGGCTCTGATCGAGTCATTTCACACAACGCTGCAGCCTTTGCAGCCTGACTCCATTAGATCAGGGTCAATACACAAAAATAATGAATGCATAATCCCTTTTTGTGATCCACCTTGTTTTAACATCCCATTATTCACCCCCGCGCAAAAAAAACACCATCCATTTCACCGTCACACACAGTTTTACCTCACATCCTCACTTTCATCTCCATCTGCTGCTGGTTGCAAATAAATAAAAGACAAGATAGGTGGAAAACTCAAAACTTTGCAAGTTCAGTTGGGTCTCAGTGGGATCTGATAGGGAGAAAACTGCACTGCGGCAACTTAGGAGGGGAAAAGTTTAAAGAAAGAAAGAAAAGCAGTTGCTGTCTCCATCTTCAGTGGACGCAAAGCAAGCAGATGCTTAGAAGCATGATTAGAAATGACTGGAAGGTTTACCACCCGGGGGGGAATAAACTACAGCTGGATCAAAGAGTCTGTTTAAAACCTGAGGATCTATTCAAGAACATTGATCTGCATTATTTTGGATCCTTATTACTGATCTCAAGCTCTCCGCGGATCTCCTTTTATGATTAATGTCACTGGTTCCTCTGCAATCACAACACACATGCCAAAAACGGTTGTTTTATGCATCTGTTATTTTCCTCATCTTCATTTTAAGAACTGTTTTTCCTCTTTATTTCCTTCAGCCTTCCTGAAGCCAGCGCTCCAGCACCATCAAGGGGGATTGAGGTAGAAAAACGCAAAGAGTATATTCCAAAAGAGGAAGACTTGTTCTCTCTGTACTTCTCTTTCTGACTGGCAAAAAAAATAAAAATACCCCAGTTCTGTCAAAAAAATGGGCAAATGTATTGGGACAGAGAGCTAGAGTTTGATATTGATCAACTACTATTTGAGTCATTTGATGGATTGAGATATCAGGCATGCAGTCATCATCGCAGCATTTCATGCCTCCAGCTTGACTTCTTCTTCCGTAGGGCTTCCATGCTGAGCCTGAAGAAGAGAGACTAACCAGTGCTTCCTGTTTGTTAAGATTTCATAACTGCCTGAGGAGAGATGATCCAAAACATTTCAAAAAGAGGTATCTCCTAGGTTACAGTGGAAAACAGATGTTTACATGCACTTTATATAAGGACTCTTTTTTTTCTTTCTTTCTTTTTAAAACAACTTTAGCTTTTTTAAATAATTCAGATTCATTCCAGAAATACTTGTTTCATTTTCTACAAATTTAGAGATTTTCCTTCCTTTCCTTAATATTTGGTCAAAGCTTTTCAACTGCTGATTGGGTCAAATCTTTTGGAATTTTTGCCACAATCTTTTCACAATTGTGTTGAATGTTCTGTCCTATTTCTACAGATCACTAAAGATGTTTGTAAGTCAACTTGCTAATATACACATGGCTAAAGTCTCAGAGCATTAGTTTTGCAGTCCCTGGGCCATTATTTTTTTTTTTATCTAATTTTGTGGTATTTTTATAGTTATGAGGCATTTGGAAAACCAATGTTGTACCCAAACTTGGCTGCTGTTTTAAATTTTGGTTCCCGTTTCCACTTAATGATCCTTTTTCAGTAACCTCTCTATTATGAAATTTACGCTGCTTCCTTTTGCGGCAAAACTTCCCAAAAAACTGCTGGAACCCCCATAAGTTGCATTTTCATGTGTGCAACAGTATGTGGGTATTCTGCTAATTCTGAAAATGCATATTTTCACAATTGTGGTATTTCCGTTGAATAAAAAAATTACAATTTCAGATGAATAACTTGTTCACGCCATAAATTTGAAATCAAGTTTAGTGCCAAGTAGGTTTGCACTTCAAAGAAATTTTAACTATAGCTATATACGATATAAAGCATACAGTATGTAATGTGAAGCTATATACTATATACACAGTAGACTGTGTATTAATGTAATGCAGGAGATCTGGAGATGCTATGTTGTAGCTTGTAGGTCCTGAACACGGGAGGGAGCAAGGCAGTGTCAGTGTCATGGGGGCTCTGGGCCTTGTTCATAGGGCTGGTAGCGGATGGGAAGAAACTGTTCTTGTGGCGTGAGGTTTTGGTCCTGATAGACTCCTGCCAGAGGGAAGTGACTGAAATAGTTGGGGGTTTGGGTGCAAGGGATCAGACATAATCTTCCCTCTATGCCTCAGAGTCCTGGAGGTGTACAGATCCTGGAGAGATGGAATATTGTGTCGGAATTCCTCAGCTGGTCATCCAAAATAAAATTTTCCCCTTATTATCTAACTGCACTTGTTATGTTACATGTTTAAACAAATTACTTTCAAAATGATAGTGGGTTTGATAAAGTTATAACCGTTCTAAGGGTCTAAGGGAATGGTAGGTCATTCAAAACGTAGCAGCACTAGCATGTTCCTTTACAACAGAGGTGGGCAATTTCACTTCCTAACGGCTGGTATCCTGCAACATTTAGCTGTGCCTTTAGTTCATCACACCTGAATCAAGTAAATAGATGATGGAGGAGGTAATTCAGCCATTCGATTCAGATGTGTTGAACCAAAGATGGATCTAAAAGTTGCAGGATACCAGCCCTCAGGAACTGAAATTGGACACTCCTGCTTTACAAGCTCAAACATTTAATCTATAAACTGATCAATATTGCTAGTCACTGAACTACTATCTAGGTTTATTACCAGTTTTAGTTGTGAATCACAGATTGGTTATTGATTAAGTTAAAACTTTTATAATCTCTGGAAACGATTAAATAGGCTCGATACCATATTGTGAGATAGATTCCCAGACCATGATGGCTACGCCACCATACATCTCATTATTTGGAGGTCATCCAGGAAAATGTCTGCAACTCCTACTCCATAAAAAATAAATCTTGTCTTCAAGGGCATACATTTAGGCTACTCAATGTGTTTTGAACAATTTTAATGTCTTTGGGGTCTTATAATTTTAACTGTGGCGACTTCTTAACTTTACTTTAGCCTTTCCTCACAGGTAACTGTAGGGTGTCTTTACTTTCTGCTCTTCTTTATATAATTTCCTATTCTTCTGGTTAATGTCTGGAGCAACTTATTTTACTCATTTGTGACCTTCAATGTTAAAAGGTTTTAAGTATATTTCACAGAACAAACGGTGCCACTGTTTATTTAAACCTACACAGAATCAGCTACTTTCATGCTATGATTGATCTGCTGCTTTTCATTTACTTTATTGCTCCTTTTAGTAATTATTCTGCTACGTGGAGGTATCATTTATACCAAAATGTTTGAATATGTTTTGTCACATGATTTTGAATTCTGCTCATGTGTTACTGTTGCCAATTATCTTGGTTCTGGTTGTGCTTTTTGGCCTCTGCAGTTAAAAACGCACCAGCATGAACAAGGAAATCAAAGCCCAACTTTAGCTTCCTGTCCCAGTACTTTGTCTTTGTACATAAAGTACGTGTATGAAATTAATTTCTTTTAAATGTCCAAGCTACTGGAGGGGCGGGGGTTTGGTTTAGTTTGTGGCGCCACAACAGTCTCAGGAGGAGAAACACACAGATCGGCTAAACTAACCCCCCCCCAGTGCTTTTATTCTCACACTATTTATTAAAAGAAACAAAGCTACTGTTTTTCCTGTGGTCTGCTTGATACAACTCAGGAGCACAGAGATAAAGATGAAGAGTTTCGCCGGTTTGACCCGATTGATTTTGTTTTTTTAATATTTAATGCCAAGGAGAGTTTAGTCTAAGTTTAATTACAGATTCAATGTTGGTGTCAGGGCCTGAACTCCTCTGCTTGGGTCTCTGGCTGTGAGGGCAGACCACAGAGCATGTGAAAACAGAAACGCTCATGCTGCTCTCATTCACTTCAGATATCACATCTTTACAGTGTACTGTCCAGTTTTTTATTTTTAAAACAAAAGTTTACATATTTATCATCCTGATAACATTCGGGTATCTCAAGTTTGTTTTCCAAGCTGCATGCTCATCTTCAACCTCATTGGTTTGTTCTCGGAAACTCAGTTTAAGAGACCGAAACATTAACAGTTTATTTCAATCCAGTGAGCACTCGTCTTCCTTTACAGAAGAAGGGAAGACTGCAGGCTTTCAGGAAGTGTTTGAACTCTTACAGCTTAAGCAAGGCTTTGCAAACAGCAGAATATAATACAATAAAAATTTTGGCCTAATTTCTTTTCTTTGTTTGAAACCACTATCAGACTGAAGAAAGACAGTTACATGAGAAAATCCTTACATCTTTCACTGGGAAAACATTTAGTTCACATTTTGTTATTCGACACCCTAAAGGTATGTTCACATCACTGGAACCGGTTTGACATCCATGATGTAGAGGCTGGATCTGGAGTGAAAGTGAGCGAGGCGAGGGTGGCGACTTTTTGGAGGGAAATGGGACAATTTTGGCAAATGTAGCTAAATTTAATCACCTTCATCCTTGTGTGTGAATTAAGTGCAACAGCAGTTGAAAAATCTGAACTTAAGTTTAGATTTGCATCACAAAATCCAGTCAGGGACTAGATTAGCTTTTTTTTTTAATTAAAAATGGAAGATGGGGAAAATAATGTTTACAAAAAAATTAAGTGGAAATACTCTCAAGAGAGTTGATCTACAGCTGCACTTCTCCGCTCTAGTGTGCTGATTCCCCAGGCGGATCCTCTGATCTCCTGCTGTGGTTCCTTTATTCCAGAGGCTCCCATGGCTGGCAGCATGGTCCCAATTCTGCTTTTTTTTTTTCTTTGCCGGTGTTCTCGTACTGATTTCCCTAAATCTCTGTTGTAGGATTGATTCATCTCCCAATGTAGGACTGGGTCATAGATAGGCAGAAGTACCGCTGAAGGCTGTAGTCTGGGGGTAGGTGCTGGTTCCTTTTTTGGGGAATCTGGTGAACCTAGGAACGCCAAAAGCTATATTTGGCTTTATAAAGTAAAAAAACAAACAAAAAAAAAAACACTGCCAGTCGCTTTGTAAATCCAGGTCTGCCATACTCCATGAACTAAGAGTCTTCGCCTGATGAGCCAATTCACCTGCTGGGTGAAATGCTTTGGCTGGCCAGGTTTCACGTTCGGTGTGAACACACCTTTTATTAATGTTTGTGTGTCTTTTTTGGCTTATCTTCTTGACACACCAACTTATGACTCTGTTTTCCCATAGAAAAAAAACCCAAATAAAACCTCAGATTAAAAAAAAGTGCTACAGTCAGTAGAGGAGCCACAGGCCCACAGCATCACTAACCCTCCTCTGTTAGCATCAAGTGCCTCGCCATAAGCTTCATGTTGCACATTTGCTGCTAGAGGCTCCATCTTCTGACCTAAACACAACAGCAGAAACAAAGTCTTCCAGATAAAGATTTTGTTTCCTGAATGCATCCCCAAAAGCAACTGCCGCTCTGGAGTTACTACTGAATTGAAGAAATTATTTTACCATCATTCTCACTCAGTAGTAAATTTGTTTATAGTTGCTCTGAATGTAACTATGGGCAAATTTAGGAATGGTAGTTATTTTCTTAATTTTTCTCACTGCAAAAATGATCTCAAAATGAGTAAAAATGTCTTAAATTAAGGGTATTTACCCTTAATTTGAGCAGGTAAAACAGATGATTTGCCAATGGAATTAGTATTTTTACTTAGAAATAAGGTATCTAGATATTATGCATTTGAAATAAGACAATGCAATTTTTTTTTTTTTTTTTTTTAAGTGTAAATTGTGTTGTTCCATTGGCAAAGTGTTTCACTTAAATCCTTAATTCAAGAAAAAATGCCTTATGACTTATTTAGATTTAATTTTTTTGCAGTGCAAAAAAGGTAGACAGAATAACTGGCTTTCCAGCCTCACTGGAATGATGTGTTCTCTCGTTTCCCCTTTTGAAGAGTTGCTTAGTTGCAACATTTACAACCCAGAGAAACAAATCTTCAGCTTTCCCCTCTCATAATTGCAGCTTCTTGATTTTCTTTTTTTCAAAGAGTACTTTTAGGCGATTATTGTCTTTATTTTTCTTTTTTTTTCTTTCTTTTTTATAGGCAGACAGGTAGGGGAAGACATGCAGTAAAGATCACCATGGGTCGTGTGCATAACTTCTGCAACATCCACGTCCAGCTTATGGATTTTCTAACCTTTTTTTTTAAGGTTTTTACACATTTCACTGTTGGTGTCAATATATGCAGACGTGATATTTATCTATTTGGTCTAAAATTTGAGTTCAACACTTCCTGAAAGAAGTTACATATTATAAAAGAGCTAAAATTATTTAATTGTAAATACTTTTCTGTAAAAAGGAAGAAGCAAAGGCGAGTTGAGGGGACCTTTATGGGATTAAGGTCCAGATACTCTGAACCACAGCTGGTTCATTGCTCCATGCACACTGTGAAGTTTAAATTAATTTAATAACTATATGAAATATGGGCATTTTATTTTAGATATCTGCTCTTAACAGTGCAGAAGACTTTAATTTTATAGCTTGATATATTTATCTCACAATCACATTCAGTTCTTGTTTGTAATGTTTCTTTTTAAGAGTTGAAACCTGCAATGTTTATAATGCACTGGTATATTTGACGTTTTAAAAAACAAGCTTTATTTTATTTTTTTAACTCCTGTTTTTTATGGTTTCAATTGTTGAACATTGACAGAAATGACACCAATTCAATTATTTAACTGAACTAAAAGTGGTTTGAAATTAAATGTAAAACTCATAATTACATATCTGTCATGCCCGTTTTTGAAGTAAACACATTACAGTTATAACAATATTTATATTTATATCACTTCTGTTGTATGTTATGGAACAATAAAATTCTGATTGTGAGAAAAAAAACAGTTTGTGCTTTTTTTTAGTCAAGATTTTGCAGATTTTTTATTAATTTGATATTTAAAAAAATCCTAAAATTGAACAATAAGCCATTATAATGAAGTGGTGCCTTTGAAAACATTGTGCAACATGACCTTCACATGAAATAAAAATAATGTTTTTGTGGAAAATATGTAGAAAACAAAATTGAAAGATCAATGCTAATATATTTATTTTTGTAAAGGTTGTGATTGGTTGAAAAATGCACATTCTTTAGTTTTCTCTTCGATAAAATATATTTAAAAAATGACTTTTTAAAAGTCTTTTTTAACATTTATAATCTTCCAAAGTACTTATTTCCTACTGGGTTGCGCCAATCATCTTTCTCATTAGTTAATACTTTAGCCTGTCCAAATATTTAGTTTCCTTTCTTGCTCCCAGGTCGTCTCTAATGATTTCTTCTCATCCATTCATCCTCTGTGGGGCGAGAGGTGCGGTGCAGGTTTGCATCCATCAAAGGAAAACATGGAGCCAAGCAGAACAAATGGCCATGCACACATTTCCAATGAAGGGGTTAGACCTAATGGTCATTGTAGGAGCCAAACATTTTTTTGTTAACTACATTTTTATTTTTTTGTGGATAATCTAGTTTATTTGTAGTTTATTTATTCTACTTTATTGTTTGGTGTCTGTTTCCAAATTATATTTTTTGGTTATTTAGTTATGTGTCTTTGTTTCTGGTAAGTTATGATCAATTTGACTGAATTAAGTTTCTAAATAGGCTGTCAATAGTAGGACCAGCATGTATCTGATTGAAGAAGGGGAGTAAACGGGGGGAACCAAACCTGGGATTCAAACCTAAGACCTGCTTGCTTCGAGGCACTCTTCTAATCCGGAGGTTTTAATGACATTTGATAAACACTGATTTTGCATATTATGAAATTTCTGTGTTGTCCCACTAATGTGGGTCTAATATATATATATTTTTTTTTTTCTGTTGGAGGAACTTGATGTTTTATTACAGATGTCCTGAGATTTTACTCCCTTGGTATAGAGACGTCACACAGATTCCTGCCTCCACCTTTATGCCTAAAATATGAGGTACTCCACATGAGGTATTCCATAGAGCAGGTACCATCGCTTCTAGCTGAAACTCAAGTAAAAAAAACATACAACTCAAATTCTAAATCAGTGTTTATTCAGTTTTTGAAAGTTTGGAAATCAGAGTTGTCTTACAAACATTGAAGTAGGGACATTAAAACATTTTGTCGTTCTTTAGGAAAGTCATGTTGGTATGAAAAGCTGAATTTATATAACATTATTATCATGCGAGTTAAGGATTTAACTTCTTTACTTTTTCTGCAAAATGAATCCCCAATTTTGTATATTTGGAAACTTTTTGCAATAAAATGAGGACTATTAAACACAAAAATATGTACAGACATTTTTTTAAATAGTCCTTCTGCATTTTTTGCCCAAAACACATTTTAAAAACATCCAACTTGCTGAAATAACAATTTATATTTGAAAATTTCAACTTCCACGACACACCGCTCCTCAACCATCAGCTACCTGCCACTAGGTGGCGCCAAAGTCACTGTTTTTCACTCAATAGGTTATTATTTAGCTGATTTGTTTAGTTTGCTTCAAAACACAATTTAAACCTTTATTTTCCTAATAAATTATTTAATTATGTTTTATATGTGCTGCTAGCACTCATGGATGTTTATATTTTAATAATCAGGTAAATCTCTGCAACAAACCATGTCAGTTATATATTAAAGTTAGAATTAAAAGGCTAATTTATAGCATTTTATATTAGCTTCTTAAGTCCTACTCCTTTTGTTTCCATTAAACTATTGAGCTACAGCTCTTCTTTTCCCCTTCTTGTTAGAGATGGTTTTGCCTTTCGCTGCTCTAGCCAGAGTTATAACTTTACAGCCACCGCGGTACTACAGACATCTTAGATACATAAATGCTTGAAGCAGCATTTTCTGGAGATCCTGCATTAAACTTTTGGATTTTTCATTTTTTTCAAGCGATTTTAAATAAACTTAAAAAAAAAAAAAAAACATCTAATTGTCATCACAGCTCCTTGAATTAGCTATGAGCAAAAAACATAATTTTAAAATACCACTTTGGATCCCACATTTATCTAGCTAAGCATCCATTTATGTTCAGTTTTGGTTTTGCAAGAATTTTATATGGTGTTTGTCCACCAGATGGTGCTGTTGTTTATATGTTCAAAGCTTGCAAGAAAAGTCAACATGTTTTACAATTTTATGGAACTGATTCAGTCACTGATGTTGGAGAGTTAGGTGTTGTTTTGAAGTATTTATATGCAAAGTATTTCATGGTAAATATTTCAGCTGCTGACAATTTGTATTTGTTTATATCATGGTTTAAAAAGCATCAAGCTGTGCAAACATACGAGCCTTTAGTAAAATCCCAGAATATTAGTTTGAAATATGAATAAAAATTGGGGGAAATTATAGCAAATTACCAAATAATATTACAGACCTTCTTGGTAACTTGAAATATTTTTGTTCTAAGGATCTATTTTAAGGTTTCATTTAAAAATGCAACTACAGAGCATATATTCATTAAAGTATTTTTTTTTTTTAAATTAATTCTAACATTTATTTCTTGGTAATAAAAATGCACAGTTCTGTAAACATATTGGCCTTTAATGAGTTTAAACTTCACAAATATAAATATGCAATAAAGATATTGAACCCTGAAGTTTTAAAAAGATGTCTGGTGTGAAAAATAAAATCAATCTATGATGCTTTTGCAGCCATTTCTAGGACGCGCAGGAGCAGGTGTAGAAGAGTGTTTAAGGGTTAAAATAATTAGGAATCAGCCATCATATCAAATCAAACTGGCTGCTGTGTGTTTATATTGTTAACGATAGCAGCTGTGAAGTTCATGTCTCTCAGTCAGTGCAGACAATAAAAAGGTCAGTGCAAGTGATGTAACAGGAAGTAACCTCATATGATTAATGTTTTCCATCTTATGTGCATCATGTTCAATATTGCTTATACACAGTGTATGTAGAATAATGCTGTGCATACAGACAAATCAGACAAGCCATGGTTGAACTAATGGATTTCTTTGGATTAAATAATAGAAATATTACTATATTGACCTATTTAGAAAAATCTTCATCAGAAAATCTCCTCGTTCAGTGCGTGAGCTCTGCCATGTGTCCCTTCTGCGCTCAGCTGCTCAGCAGGACGATGATGTAAATGAGAAGCAGGCAGATGAGGATGAGTGTGAAGTTGACAAACAGCTCCTGCAGGTTCCTCTTGGCCTGAGGGGTCACCTCGATCTGAGATGCTCGACGGATGGCCGACTTTGTCATGTGCTGGACACGCTCCATGAGGGCGACTGGGAGGTGGATCTGTAGATCTTCTGGGGTTCAGGAGCTGAGGCGGTTCACTCCGGCTGTCGATGCTGGAGGCACGCTCTGGTTTCTCTTGTCCTCTCTTTCCCTTTTCTCTCTAGTATTTAAAAGATAAACATAAAAATCATGTCTGTGTTAGTATTCTTCTCACATTGTCTTCATGCTTTTCAGTGACAGGTAACAAAACCAGCCTCTTTGGTGTGGTGCCTACGTGATATGTGACCTTTCTGCCCGGCAGAGCCGGGTGGGATGATAACAGAGCTGCAAACGGGCGCCAGCTGAGGCCTGGTGAAGTGTTAATCTCTGCTCTGTCTGGAGAAATGTCAAGAGCAGAAAGTGCTGGAGCCATTGTTGCAACTGGTATTAAAAAGGACAAAGCACTGCATGGCCTAACTGGGCTTTGATGTGGTTTTGCTAGCTGAACTGGGGCTTTCCTGGGATCAGAGCAGTAAAGATACCAAGCTTCTGCACCACTGGTTTCTGCTAACCACTTGTTCGGGTGCACTGATGAACCCTTTTCTATTTTTAACTCTAAAAGAGTAACAGCAGCACCCCTTAGTGGATGTAATTTACCAGCCTTTTAGCCTTTTTTTCCCTTTAATGTCTGTAGCCACTTACCCATTGTTGATACTTAGGCAGGGGATCAGATTTGCTGTCATTTTTCCTGCAGAAGACTTCATTGCATCTGTTTTCATGCTTTGGGTAAACATGTTTTTTTCACATTGCCTCAGTCCCGGAGGAGGGATTCATTTCAAGTTTAAGAACATTAATGCTTCCATTTATGGGATTTTCATGCTGTCCTGGAGGAAGAGTCAAATATTACATTTACCTAACTTAATTTTTTCCATCTCTTTGGAGATTTTTGGATATAAAATGTGTTGAGCCTGATTCAGAAACTATGCATCCTTTCATCTATGAGCTGAATCTAGTGATAAAATCCTCATTTTATTTCCTTCTTTTTCCAAGAAGCTTTAATGCTCTTTGTCTCTAAAATAATTAATGCCCCTTTTGTGTTTTTGCTTCATGTTTTTGAGAAATCCATGCTATCAATCATCAAAAAATGCATTGTTTTGCTGGGAAGGAGAAAGATGCATAGCTGTAAATTAAAAGTTAAAGTTTGTCATGCATTTATATCTTCCCTTTTCTGCTTCAGAGCATCTGTGAACATCGGTTCTCAAGTTTTGCCAAGGGTTTAGTTCTGGACTTTGACTAGGCCGTTCTACCAATTGAACATGCTTTGCTCTGAGCTGTTCCATTGTAGCTCTAGCTGTATGTTCTGCTTGGTTGGTAAACCTTACCATCTTCTCCAGCATCTAACAGTGTTCCTTACAGGTAATGACAATCCTGCATTTAGTTCTATCCAATCTCTACACTATTCCTTGTAGATTATATAAAATTTTTTGGTTGTTTATTTCACTTTTAAGAGTCCCTCTTACAGGTCTTAACCATGGGCGGGTTCAGACGGGGACCAACAGGGGGCTGTGCCCTGCAGAACCTGTGCTGAACACATAAACTGCAATAATTTAAACTAAGCCATTTTTCTTGATATATGGTATATACTGATTTGATTTTAGCAGAGGGGCAAGGCAATTTGCAGATGGAATAAGATGATTAATATGTTGTTTTTAATAAGCAATCACTAATTATCTTCTTTTGACGGCTAAAATCATCCTTCCTTGGGCGGCTCATTTTATTTACTGGCTCAAATTAAGGATAAAAATACGATTTACCTGAACAATTATTCAGAAATGAAAGAAACTATAGATTGGTTGCTTTATGAATAAACTAAGAAATGCGCTCTTGTTCTGTTACTTTTTTAAGTTATCATTTTGTCTGTGAAAAAACACTGACCTGTCGGCAGAGATGGGAAGTAACGAACTACAAATACTTCGTTACTGTACTCAAGTAGATTTTTCTGATATTTTTACTTTACTTTACTTTACTACTTATTTTTATGGCGACTTTTTACTTCTACTCCTTACATTTTTACACAAATATCTGTACTTTCTACTCCTTACATAAAAAAAAATAGTCTCGTTACTTTAGTTTTGAATCATTTCAATGGAGTTACCGTTATTATTTTTCACGTCATCAATACCAAATTCAATGTAATTGGGTGGGAATCTACGTTGCATTTGATGCACCACTACAAGATGAATCGACAGATTCGGCGGTATTCATTGGCGGCAAATCATTGCAGCTTGGTGGCGTTAGCATAGTAGCATGGACGACGAGATGATTAAAAACGAACACAACGGAGATCTAATCCTATTGGCAGACATCCATTTAAAATGTAGGCAACGGCATGAAAAAAAGTGGTTTCTACTTTCACTTTTATACTTTAAGTAAATTTACAAGCCTGTACTTTGTTACTTTTACTTGAGTAAAGAAGTTTAATCAGTACTTCCACTTTTACAAGAGTATTTTCTAACACAAGTATCTGTACTTTTACTCAAGTACGGAAAGTGAGTACTTTTGCCATCTCTGCCTGTCGGTTATATTTTGCCTAGAATCGCCACTGTTTTAAACTGAGCATTTTTAAAATGTATTATGTTTTCTTTTTTCTGGCATCATCTAGTGTTTTGTTTGATAGAAGCAGGAAAAATACCAGCTTTTTAATTTTTACCATAAATACATTGCATGGATCTGAACATTTTAATCCCTCCCTTCAAGCTGTTTTTTTTTTTTTTTTTAACTCTGCTAAAAACGGTCTGGTGCTCTTTTTGTTTTCTCACCTCTCATTTCAGAGGATCAAACAGCTGCTCTCTCTGTGGGCCATTGCTTCATCTGTTGTTAAGAAACAGTGAAAAGCAACACAGGAAGACGAATCCGAGCAACTGCAGCAGTCAAGTTAGGGGATGGGCTACAGGAGGGCTGTGCTTGACTCTGACTTTAATGTTTAATAAATCACTGCAGCGTAATGGTTATGATGATCTGAGAACTTGGATCTGGTGTCTGAGAACAGAGGGACTGGGACTGACCCTAACATTTTTCTTTGACTCGAAGTTCCTAAATATAACGAATCCCAGCCGCAATCAGAACAGGAAGAACTTCACAAATAAGGTTATTGGTGTGTAGAGAAGGTAATTATCTGAAGATTTGGTTCTATCAAGCTGGAAAAAGATGGAGTCAAATTTTAGGATCTTTTTTCAGGCCTGATTATGCATAGAAACAGAATATTAGAAAAGCATTTCTATTTTAAGACTTCATTCCCTAAGAATATTGTCTAAATTTCATAAACTTCTTTCCCTCCTACTTCCTTCCTTTATGTCCTTTCCTGACTTGCTGCTTATACTGTATCTTTCCTCTTTTTGTGTGTCCTTCCTTTATATTCTCTTGTCATTCTTTCCTTCCATGTGCTCTCAATCATTTCTACCTCCATTTATTTCGTCATTCCCATCTTCCTTCTCACCTTTGCCTTGTGTAATGTTTGTGTTCTTCCTCTTTTCTTCCCTTGCACATCCCCTCCTTCATAGCAGACATACCGGTACAAGGAATATTGTTAAAGAACCATTTAAAGACTTAATTACATGTGTGGATGGTCCTTTATACAGTAATGGGTGGCTTCCTCTAATAAAGAATAAAGCTGGGTATCGATTCAGATTTCCCAAATCTATTCGATTCACGATTCAATCCGATTTTCTATTTAGTTAAGGGTATCACACAGTCACAATTTCCTTGGATATGGAAGGCATTTGTTATGGTTCTTCCTTTTTGTACTTCTGTTTGGGTTTCTTTTAAGTTTTCAGTTCCACTTTGATTTATGTTATTCTGTGTTTTCTTGTCAGTTGGTTTCTTTTCCATTTTGTTTTGTATTTCTTGAGTTACTCTCTGCTGCCCCCTTGTGCCAGTTTTCTTTCCCCTAGCTCCCTTCTACTTACTCCTATTCACACCTGCCCCATATCGGCTCATTAGCCCATTCTTTGTTCTGTTCCCCGTATATACACCACCTCTGCAGTTCCTCATTGCTGGTTTGTCAGTTTTGTTGCTTTGTTGTTACTCGTCTCCCTGTGTGTGAGTCTCTCTGGCATCTCCTGGTTTTTTGCTTTTTCTTATTTTGATTTTTGCCTCTTTTGCCTCTGGAACTTTTATTAAAGCAAAACTCTTCTCTGCCTCCTTATCTCTGCATTTGAGTCCACAAAAACCTCCACCAAACCTTGACAGCGTTAGCTAAAGAACTAATGAAACTGACTTTGGTACAAAAAATGAATATTAACATTCAAAGTTCCCCCACATGAACTTTTAATTTAACGTTTCCTTACCAAAGCCAAAGTGCAAACATTTATATAATTTCAAACCACAGCATAAGCTGCTTATATAAATTGCCTACAAAACATTGAAAACTAAAAAAAAAACTCAATTTCCTTTTACTGCCTTACAAAGTTTTTGTGCAAATGTGAGTGACTGCAAAACAAATCAGTATGATAAGAGACAACAATACAAAATAACTAAATTAAACAACCAGAAATAAATAAATAAAAAAGCTTGAAAAAGCTATTCAACTGCATATGGCAATAAAGTAATAATGAACCATATTTTTTGAAACACGTGGAGTGTAAGTCTAGAGAGATCTGTTACCATTCCTCTCTGATTTAGATGGATGTTTGAAGTAATAGGTTCACTTTGATCCTCTCATCTCTTAAGTTCAGCCTGTGTTGATTTAGCCTTTTGTTTCGGATCATTATTCATGTAACAGACCTCGTAGCATCTGATTTACTGTTTACTGGTGTACTTCATCAGATTATAATCGAATATTCTGGTATCTCAAACTATTAAATAATGTTCCAATGGATTTTTAAAAATGAAAAAAAAAAATAAAATAAATAATAACAGTCCCACAGCATCAGTGATCCTCTACCCTTCTTAACAGTGGACATAAGTTCTTTGTATTCAGGATAAATCATCAATGTAGAAACAAAATGCTAAATTTAAGCTGGGAATACACTGTACGATATTTTCAAACATTGCGCTCAGCTCAAACTGTACAACAAAACTGCAAGGTTTAAAAGTTCACAGCTAGCTAGCTATGCTCCTATTCTGTAATTCCTTATGCTCTTATGAGACCTAAATACTCATTCTGTACATTCAAAAAACACATGTCGGTCTCAGCGGCAAGAGATGGTCGGAATCGTCAATCTGGAAGAAGAGGAAGAACTCTCTTGTTTGCACATGCGCAGTGCGTCAGGTTCTGGTAAATCGGCTCGTAGACGCTCATAGCTCTACTTCAACTGCAGGACTTTCCCACGATCACCTACGACTGAATTTCTAGCATGTTTGATTTCCTCCTGATCTTACGATTCCTGATCAGGAGGCGGTCCTGAGAGGCCGATCTCCCCTCGTTACCCCCTGTGTACTATATGATGCACGATGAGGCTGATTCGAAAAAATTCTCGCATAAAAGGGCAAAAAATCTTACGCTGTATGCCCGCCTTAAGGGGAAAAAATCACTGTGGGTATTTTATCACAGCATTGAATCTTCAGGTAAAATATTTTTTGTTGTTTTAGCTTTATAATTACTTTAAGCATAAGTATTATTATATTTATAAATGTTAGTGATTTACAGCATATTGCAGATTTTACCTGTTTTTGTCATCCAAACCTACCCTGATTTACATTAGAAAATTACATCTTACCATTGTTAGTAAGAAATTGTCTTGCGGAAAGCTGAATTGACATGCTCTTTCCGCAGCCAGGTATCTGTGATCTATATGCCATTCGGATTTGGTTCCTTGTAAAGTTCCTTGTAAGATTTTCTGATAACCAGGAGAGTTTATGTTATCATTAATCGCAGCAAGCCTCTTAATTTCGGAAGGAGTAGCATCATATTACCACCACCATGTTTACCTGTAGGTTTGAAGTCATCTTTCTGAAATTAAGGTTGATTTTTGATTCCAGGTGTGAGTAACAACTCCCAGAAGGGTCCCTTGTTGTCTTGTGTGTCCCTAGAATATCTCCTTTAGCATCCTGGAGATCATCCAGATGCTTTTTTTGGATGAATGACAGGCATGCAGTGTTTTCCCCTTTGAACTCTTCTATGGAATCCATTTTTGGCCATTTTTATCTTTATATAGGTAAATCATTAACTCATTTGTGATGTTCTGACCTCTTGGTCTTGAATCAGTCTTGTATTCATTTATTAGGTCAGCCTTTTTGTGGAAGTTCAATGTCTTTATACACACATTTCTAAACAGAAATATGTCAGTGACCTTTGTCCTCTTCTCCTCTTATATTATCTTTAGCTTTTTGACACCTTGTAGCCTACTTCATGTTGTCAGACAGGTTCTAGTTGAATTATTTCTTCACTCTACAGCTCAGGCAGTAACCCATAAGCTTTAAACTGACTATTTAGGGGAAAGCTTGCTTCTCCTCATAGGATCAGGTTGCTACATGGAGGCAGAACATAGAGAGCATCTGTACAATGGCAGATTTCCCGATATTTCATAATATTAGGATGAAACCCCAGACCTGTTTTTTGTTTTTGTTTTTTTTTTGGTTGTTTTTTAAAGCAATCTACTTTTATCCATCTCTGCCAGGGGCTAAATACATTTGTTGCAACAAACAGGATGACATCTCTTCTAAATATGTCACTTTCTGCAAAGTTTCACTCAAACATTTCCATGCCACTCTGAGCTGAATCCCACTGAAGATGCCAGTCATTCCCCCGGTGTGTCTTATCTGCATGTGTCAGCACACGCAGCTGTTTCTCCAGCATTACAGGAGGAGGCAAACGGGTTCAAACAGATCCCTACCAGATCTCTGCGCTCAACCTACGGAACATTAGGAGTGCGTTTGGTCTGATGATATTTGTGAAGAACTGTAACGCATTAACCAGAGTGACAGCTCAGAGGGATGTAGGTTAGAGACATGCAGTTTGCTCTGATGCCGAGCTGATATTCAAACTAGGTCAACAGCATGTTTGATTCCATCTGTCAGGTGCTAATTTTTGCACGTCTGAAAATTTAAAGAAACAAAATATATATTTTAGAATCCTAGATTTTTTTTTTTGTCACATCTAAATATTTCAGCTCATCCAACAAATAATATAAAAAAAATTGACTGAGTGTAAAGATAAAAAGCTGTTTTAGATAAAAGGCTTTCCAAACCAGCCTGACCCTTTGTGAAAATGTTTGTTTAATCATGAATGAACTCTAAAAAAAATTTCGTCTAAATTGACAAACATAACAGGTCTAATCTGAAACAGTTGTTCATCTCTTGCATATGGTTTGCTATTTTTTGCAATCATTGTCTTGACAAAATGAAACATTTTAGAAACCTAAATGATTTTAATATCCAACAAAGATAACAGAATTATAAATAAAATTCAGTTTTCTCCTGATTATGTCTTAATGGAGTTAGAGAAGCTAATCTACCTCAACGTTTGTGAAAAATCCGTCCAAAATTGTTATTTCATGATTATTATATACCTTACATTACCGTACATTTTTTTAACAGTTGAGTTTTTTTTTTTTTTTTAAGAAATCACTTAAATAGAACTTATTGAACGACTTGAAGTAGGTTAGAAAGGAAGCAAACATGAACAGCTCACTTAAAAAAATAAAAATAAGTATTTTTTTTCTTAAAATAAGTGATTTTGTACTTGAATTGAGGAGGTAAATGAGACACTCTGCCAATGGAACAAGACACTTTACATTTAAACAAAGAAAAAAAGCAATTGCATTTTCTTATTTCAAGTGCATATTATCTAAGTATCTTATTTAACTACTCAAATTAAGAGTAAATACACTTAATTTAAGAAATTGTGACTTATTTATAGATCGTTTTTGCAATGGCTGAGCTTCTGATGCTGTAGGTAATCTGCCAGAATCACTCTGCATGGACAACATTTAACGCCCTTCATGCCTTTGTCGTCTTATTTAGCGTCAGAAACAATTTAACAATAGGAAACACAATGAGAGAGAAATAGCGTCAATGGGGAAAGCTTCAAAGCCAAAACCGCTGTTGATTACTAAGCCGCAATGTCTCATATTCGCCAGAAACATAATTTTGATCCCCAGAAAACTTTTCTACGGACTGATGAGGTAAAAATAAGAGTTGGCTAAAAAGCTTATCCTAAATCTTGTCAGAAAAGTTAAACTTTTAGAAAAAAAAACATCACCAAAATGACCACGGTTGGGGCTGCAGCCATACATGGCTGGTTGAGGTTGCACTCTGGAACTACTTTACAGCTTCAGGGTAAAATCCTATAGGATCAGTTTTTTTTATATATATCAGTTTATGATTTAAGCCCAAGTACAAAAAAGTTCCACATAAAGACGATAATTTAAAACCAAACCAGACAGTCCACCTTTAGTCTTTTAAGTGACCTAATTAAATCCCAGCATTGAATGTAAATGAGATGCAAATGCATCAGAGCTTTGGTCCTGTTAATAAAACCTTCAAATGTGACTGAATTAAGAATTTAAAAGATTTCAACTACAAACTCCAGTTGGTTTGTGCCCTTCATCTTTTAAATAATGGTTTAAAAACTTCATTTCCTATTGAGTCGGTTTGTATCTGACCGGCAATAAAATTAGCCCTATGATCTGAAACATAAAAGTGACGAAAGAGCAAAAGACAGAAGTAATGTGTCGGGGGGAATGAACCCCAGTTTACAGCTATGTGATTAGACTCTGGCATAGTTTCTCCATCTGTGAGCTGCGCCTCAATCTAAGGTCATAAAACACGATAGAGCAAGCTTCTCACAGGACGCTGCAAATCAAAACAAAACGCTTATTCTTCACTGAGCTGAACAACCAACTCTGCCATTAAAAGTCATAGTTATCTAATGAAACGAGCGTTTAAGTGAAATCGAACATCTTTTCTTTATAAATGATGTGATTAGATTCAGCTGATTTTGGCTCCTCCAAAATAAAATCATGTGCTGTTTGGGAATCTAGGGAGTGAGTGTTTATCCCACTGGGAGGTTCAGTCCAGTTTCCATCCCCCTGCTGCTCCTCTCTTCAGAGCTTTGTTTACTCTAAAGTGAACAGTGACTTTTTTACAAGAGGCAGTGATTCATAGTGTCCGACATCCTATTAACATTTGCCTCTTTTTACCAGCAGAGTAAAAAAAAAACAAAAGATCAAGTCTAACTTCTGCTATTATTATTATTATTTTCAGTCAAACTCAACACTTGTCTTAGAAATATATTAAATTTCCTAAATGGGGAAGCCAAAGTTTTTGGAGGATGCTGCGTCTTACCTTGCAGATGTCGATGGAGCTGGTAAGAGCTGGAGCTAGAAATGTCAGATATGCAGCACTTGCCAAGGCTGAAAACACTGAGAAAGAGGAGCAGAGAGGGAGGAAGGGAGAGAGAGAGAGAGGGGAAGGCAGGACATCCCAGTCAGGAGTTTAGTAGAGCCAGGATACCAAATTTGTATTTGTTGAAGTCAATATGCTGCTCAGTTTCATTTTTGAAATTCATTTTTTTTGTCGAATAAGAGATAACTCCTAAAAAAATATATATCAAGGCGTAATATTGTATATATGTATATGTATATTTAAAAACATACCAGATAAGGGAATAATGACTGTCGTCATTATTAGATATGAGGGGTGAATGCTTACTGCCAAGGTCAACAGCAAGTTGTTTTTATATCCAACCAGATGTATGTGTTTTTATTAAAATATAAAGAGCAAAGTTGAACTAAAGGCTTGTTTGCGTAAACGTGGCCAACAAAAGCTGATCCAGACTGCCTTAAGAATACATAACACATATTATTTAATGTCTGTACAATTGCAGTTGTTGTTTAAGGGCCTGAGGGCGTTAGAAAACAGACAGCATAATGAAAAAGAGGGAGTTGGAGATCTTTAAAGGCTACAGCTTGAAAAGACCATCCCCCAATGGTGAAACACAATAGTGGCAGCATCATGCTGTGGTGGGGCTTTTCATTTAGAACAGAGAGGCAGGTTGAAGCTAGCGGAATTCAGTTCAAATCAGTTCATTTATATAGCACCAAGGCACTTTACAAAGACAATTCAAGCAAATCATAAAGTCTAATTGGTTCAAAGTTTTCTATCTAAGGTAAACCAGCTGATTGCATCGACTCATTTGCTTGAAGGCAATCCCTTACACCAAGCATGCTCGTAGTGACAGTAGAGAGGAAAAACCCATGTAAACAGAACCTCAATCAGAACAAAGCTCAGTGTGAGCGGCCATCTGCTGAGACCAACTGGGGTTCAAGGAGAAAGAAGCAGACGTATAGAAAGAAGCAGAGATACAAAAGGCAACTGTGAAGCAGCTCCACAGGCGGGGCCGTCCAGGAAACACACAGCCAGGCAGACGAGCTCCTGGCTGGAAGATAGATGGGGAATAATACAGGTAATTTCTAGAGGAGCATCATCCTCTAGCAGCACATCCGCCGTAGACATATAGGGGAAATACAATTGACTGGGTTAATCAGTACTTAGAGAATGAAAGAGGTTCAGGTAATATTTAGCATTTTTGCAAAGATGAATATGCTATTATCTCCATCTCCAGATGTGCAAACCAGATAGAGACAAGCTGAGTTGCATGTAGCAAATTTTGACTCCATGGCCTTTGAGGGCACCATTACTTTACCCAGTAAGTCACAGTTTTTCTTTCTTTTCAAAAATAAACTCTACTTTGGCTACTTTGTATGCCAAATCCAGAAAAAAACATTGAAACATATGTCTGTAGCTTGAACAAATGTGGTTAAATTTCCTCTGAGCATCACTAAAGTCAGCCTATTTGTACCACATTACAATAGGAACTAGGAGGTCCAATGTGAGGCACATTGTTCTTGGAATAAATTAGCCCACATTTGGAACAAGGGACTTAAAAATCACATTCATTTTTTTTATGTGTGACTAATTTCATTTACAAATCCTCCATTATAATAAGATAAATCACATTTGATTTATAAGATGGGCATGTTCTGAATGTGTTTCTTAGCTAGAAAAATCTTAAAGCTTTCTGTATTTGTATCTGAACATAAAAAAATATGCGAAAGGCATTTGATTAGAAGTTTTAAACTTTTAACCCTTTAAAAGTTTGTTATAATCATGAATCTTTTCTATACATGATTTTTTAAGTCTATCTTTTAAAAAAGACATGATTTTCTAGTCTTTGCACTACAAAACCGATGTAAAAATAAGTTTAAATTTCTTAAATGAAGTGTATTAGCCTTAATTGGAGCAGGTAAATAAGGTGATGTGCAAATGGAATGACTATTCGATAAAATAAGATAATTAGATAGTATGAACTTGAAATAAGACCATGCAGATGATTTTTTTTCTTATTTTAAATGTGAATTGTCTTGTTCCATTGGCAAAGTGTCATTTACCTCTTCAATTAAAAAAAGCACTTATTTAAAGAAAAAATGAATGATTTCTAAAAGGCTAAAGAAGTTGAATAAAGACATTTTATTGTCATCTGAGTTTCCTCCTTGTAACAAATGGGTCACCATGTTTGGATTCCTCCCCTCCTTGTTTAATAAATTTGCACCATGTGAGTTTGGCAGCGCTGACGTATAACAGAGATTACTGACCACTTGGCTCACAGTCAGATATATTAAAACAGGCTGCTCCATTGTCTTTATCCTCCTGGCACCCCTGTAGACATGCATGGTCCCCCTGAACAGCTGATGGCGCTTCTAAATATATAGTTTGACACCAATAAACAACCCTTAGAGGAATCATTAGGGATACTGGTTACTGTTGTGGTAGCGAGCACAGGATCCCTACACTTTATGATTCTTTGTCAGCTTAAAATGCCAACCTTTCGTTAGGTTTCTCACTTAGGTCTGAGTTCACATGATCTGAGAGTGCATGGTGTTTTGCGATGTGTGTGGAGTTCTGGACATTGTCGGTTTCTAAGACTGGAAAAAAAAAGAAAATTGAAGGGAGGTTTGAAAAAGTCCGGAAAAAGTAAAAATAACCCAGATGATCTGTCCCAGGAAACATCCCAGCTGGATGATCTGCATGTAAACAGGCCGTCAGTCACGTACTGGACAGTCATTATTATTATTATTATTTTTATTTTATTTTTTTATAACTGCTTGCTTTTTCTCAGTCAATAATCATGTAGAAAAGTATTCACACCTCATGCACATTTTTTGTGGGCACAATAGCTTGTCACATAGATACTCTATGTCACTATTTGAAAAAGTCCCCTAAGTAGCTGCAAACATTTCAGTTTGCAGGAAATGTTCATATTTACGAAGATGATAAGATTATCCAAACTTGCTCAGAAAGGAAAAGCAGAAGTCATTTGAGTAGTATCTGTCATACAACATGAAGTTGGTTAAATGATTGTAAAGCATTTGCAGCATGTTACAGTCTCAAAAATGCTATGTATTCAATATTCTGTGTATCCAGTGATTCATAGTGAGATCATTGGGTCTCCTCTTCCATCCATAAAAGATATTTCATCCCAGCTCTGCATTTCCCGAGCCCGTAACATTATCAGTGACCCCTCACACCCCCACCATGGACTGTTCTCTCTGCTGCTGCCCTCTGGGAAGAGGCTTTGCAGCATTTGATGCAGTTCCTGCAGATTCTGCAGCAGGTTCCCCACCAAACTGAAAAAACTGAATGTTGGAAAAAAAAAAAAAAAATCATGCCACAGTCTCTGCATCAAACTGCATAATTTTTTTTTATTTTTTTTTGCCAAATGTTTACACTTGATCACTGTTGCACTTTAAGAAATGGAAATGTCATGAGAGCTGTGTAAAACAAAATGTCTTTTTGTATACTCTCTGTGTATACAAAAAGACAATAAAAATTGTCTAAGAGATCCACAGAGACAACATGGAGAAAATATTTGGAGTCGTTGCCGGATCGCAATTACTCAGAGTGGCTTTAAAGTTCTGACGGGTTTACTTATTTCGCTTATGAGTCAACAATAAAAGGCTTGGTAAAAAAAAAAAAAAAATCTCCAACTTTTTAAAGTTCTGAATTCTGATATGTCTGGCATTAAAACAACTTTTAGACTAAACTTTTAGCTAAAACTCAAAATCATAGATGCTTTAGAAAAGCCATTTATTGAATCAGAAGATCCTGAAGGAGAATGTCCTTTATACATTAGATCAGGGGTCTGCAACCTTAAGAGTCTACAGATCCACATTTTCCCTGAGTCCAGCCAAATAAAACAGTATTTAGAACAATTAATGTTACAAAGGGCTTTTAAATGAGTTCACATAATTCTTTATAACTATCTACTTATGTTGTTTTTTATGGTTTTAGGATAAAACTTCTGCAAAGAGAGAAATTGTTATGTCTTAAAAAAGGATTTCAAAGGACAGTTTCAAACTTAATGACAAGAAAATTAGATCATAAAGTGTGTTACTACTACTTTATCAGGAGGATCTATTACAGCTCTTCAATGACAAAAATGTGACATATAAATTATCTTTTCTAAATATAGTTGTTTTCCTTTATCAGTTTTAATCCAAATTTTAGAGCCATGGCCACAGGTTGCAGACCTCTGCTTTACAGTAGATCAAAACACTTGGCTAAAAAAATGACATTCTATGAGATGTTTTAATTTCCACAATTAGATACTTTTTGTTTTAATCCATCGCTAACTCCCTATGAAATAGAATATAGTTTTGTTGTGATAAAATGTTAAAACTTCTACTGTATTCATAATAATAAGAGATTGATTGATCCATTATTTTTTTCCCGTCTGTTCAGATTCTAATACCTAAACATGGATATTTGCTGATTCCCACACTTTAACAATACCATATTTCTGTTTGATCTAATGTTAACATAATTACTACTAATGTTTTTTTTTAAGTCTGTCTCAAACCCATCTCTACAAGCAAGTATAATGTATATGAATTTATATCCTAAAAGAAAACTTGATATTAGTATTAATAATAAAGTCAGAAAATGAAGGCATTAACAGAGTAAACAGGGCAAATTTCAACATATATGCAACTGTTAGGGTTCATATCGATTCTATTTATTAAATCACAAAACAGGTAAAAAAATCCCTGCTGTTCAGGTATTTGTCAATGCCTGCCCCTCTTGAGTCTACAACTAGAATTACCCTCACTATCACGTCCAATAAAGATATTAATACTACATTGATGCATATTTAGTTATTTAATTCAATCCTTATTTTACTGTTTTAAGGTAGTGCATTTATGTGTGTAAAGAAAAAAAATCCCTACTACAGTAGATATAATTTGCTGAAGCAAAGTAGAGACTCTAGTTTAGAAAGTTATAAAATATATGAAATCTAATTCCCTCTTTCCTGTCTAATTAAAGCAATTGCACGATTCTAACAGACTTAAAAGGTTGGGGATTCTTTAAAAAGTTTATTTAAATGTTTTCTTG